CTGGAGTCTTCCCTCCCAATAAATCTCCTGACTGAGGTTTGGGTGAGACCTTCTTTCACTGGAGCAGAGATGACCCTGGGTAGAGCTGAGCTGAGCAGGGTTGTAACACTTTTCACTACCAGGGAAACATTCTAGCGAAGCAGGATTGTTACACTCTGGTCTCCAGGGGACTAGAGCAGAACTGTAACAATTTCACCCGAAATGTAACAACTTCGCCTGGGAAAACCCTCTCCAGCTGGAGCAGAGCTGATACAATGGGAAGCCTCTCCCTGAAGCAGGGCTGTAAGCTGCTATGCTTACTGTACTGTGGTATTCTTGGTTCCAGATTGCCAGAATACCTTTCCATCTGAGCTGTAACACTTAGTATTCTGAGGCTCCCGAGTGCCAGAATCCCTGTCTGTCCCATCTGAGTCGTCAAAATGCTTACAGACACCTCACACAGAAATGCACACACACACAATGCAGATCCCCTGAAGAGTAGGACTGCTCCTGTGAGTATCTGTGGGAAGAGCTGTTCCAACAAAGGGAACAATCAAGTACCACGGTCCTGTGGCAGGAAAGTATGGGAATGGGGCCAGAGCCTAGGAAAGCAGCAAGTTCCCTGGGGATGAGGAGGCTATGTTTCTGTCTAAAGCACTGAAAGTCCCATGTTGTGGTAAATGCAGCTGAGTTTCAATTAAGATAAACCTGCTGTGGACTAAAGAAACAGCTGTGCAGGTTAGTACACTGAGTGCTCTTCCACTGGGTTTCAACAGCACTGCAAGGCTAGCAAATGGTGCTGGGGAAATTTAGATACTGTTGAGCCAACTTCTAAGTGTTTATGCTTGTACTTGTAGATCTGGGCTATTTTCAGCCTTGCAAAGCTTCCTTCTGCAGATAATGGAGAGAAGGAACCTGTCAAACTGTGAATACTTGGTCATAATGTGACAGACCAGGCTAGTCTCCTAGATCCACTTGCCTCTGCCTCCCAAGTGCTAGGATCAAAGGTGTGTGCCACCACCTGCCCTGCTACAAAATGGATAATTTTTGTTTGAGACAGTGTCTCCCTATGTAACCTGGGATATCCTGGAACTCACTACATACCCAGGCTGGTCTTGAACTCAAAGAGCTCCTACTGCCTCTGTCTCCAAGTGCTGGAAGTTTTTCAACATGAAAATAAATGTTAGAGATATGGAAAAACTGGAATCATTCCTTGCTATCGGTGAGGAGTTAAATGGTGCAGCCACCATGAAAAGTAGAGTGATGGTCTGTGTATGTGGCTCAGACGGTGGAATGCTTGCATGAAAGGCTTGACATCCTGGCTTTGATCCCAGCACAACACACAACCAGAAAAGTGCTGCATGGTTGTAAGCCTAGCACTCCAGAGATGGGGCAGGAAGATTAGAAGTTCAAGGTCATCCTTGGCTGTATAGGAAGTTTGAGGCCAGCCTTGACGATATGAGACCCTACCTACCCAAACTTAAGATGAATTTCACATTAGGAGTATTTTATCAGTGTTGAAAACAACACATTCTGAATGTGTATCATAAAGTTAGCCTGGCAGCTAGGCATGGTGGTGCATGTCTCTAATCCTAGCACTTGGGAGGCTGAAGCAGAAGGATCATGGCTTTGAAGTCTACTTGAGCTTCACAGTGAGACCTGTCCCAGGACAACAGCAACAAAGAGAACAAAATAGTTTACTTGTTCAGCCCTATCTACAATGTGACCTCCATGAGAGCAGGGCCAGGTCAGTCTGAAGTTCCCACCCTACCGAGCCAGTCACTGGAAGCATGGGGAACAAGACAGATGAGGGCCCAGCCACCTGAATCTCACAGTCTGGGCCAAGTAAGTAAGAATATTGTGCATGGTCTGGAGAGATGGCTCAGCGGTTAAGAGCTCTGGCTGTTCTTCCAGAGGTCCTGAGTTCAATTCCCAGGCACCACATGGAGGCTCACAACCATCTGTAATGAGATCTGGTGCCCTTTTCTGGTGTGCAGGCTTACACGAAGGCAGAACATTGTATACAAAATATATAAATAAATCTTTAAAAAATGAATATTGTGCATAACATCTGCACAAGATGGAGCCAGCCTGTCAACATCCCAGCATGAGTGGTGCCTGGTCATGAGGCCCCACCCCTGGATGAGGAACTATCGCCAGTCAAATGCTGTAGGGGTAGGAGGAACTTATTTTTCTACATATTTGAGTCTGTCCAACAGTGAGGGGGGCATCTTTAAAGATTTATTTATTACATATACACCAGATTGAATTGTAGATGGTTGTCAGCCACCATGTGGTTGCTGGGAATTGAACTCAAGACCTCTGGAAGAACATTCAGTGCTCTTAACCTCTGAGCCATCTCTCCAGGCCTATGAGGGGGGCATCTTAGCCACCCCCTGTGCTATACTCAAAGACCCCATCTGAGTGGCTTTTCTCTAGGGCCTAGCTGCCCTGTTTCCCACTCCCTAAAGTTCAAGGACCTAACTGCTGTATACTGGTGACCACCAAGGGCTCCTTCCCCTTCGTCTTACTGTCCCCAGAAGCAAGCCAAGATGGAAACACACATCTCTGCTCCACCTGCCTGGGGATGGGCTCAGGGACAGAAGAGAGCAACCCACCTTAGCTTAGCCATTTCTGAGGTTCCAATCAGGCCCTGCTCTCAAGGAGAGAGAGGCAAACAGAAATCCCCTGGGAAGCAGCCTGATGGCCCATGATGCCCCCAGCATCAGAGGCAGCATCATCTTTGGGCCTGACGAGGCTGGTTTTCCCTCGCTGTCCTGTCCTGCCCAGCCTGTGGTCCAGCTGTAAAAGAGCAACCCCTGGAGAGGCTGAGGAAGATGGGCACATGGGAGGTGGTTCCGCCCCTGTCCTGGCCTCGGGACTGAGGTTCCCTGCACCCACATCACAGCTCCCTACCCTAAAGTAGAGATGGGAGGGGTCCTCCCCCACCAGTTCCAGAGAAGGACCTAGCACTAGATGAAGATACAGAGCTCGTTTGGGAGGAGGGGGGGAAAGCAGCAGGTGGACTCAGGATGTGGTTCCCAATGTTAACTACAGGGCTCGCCTAGAACACACAAGGTCCTGGGTTCCATCCTCAATGCACCACAAAAACCCATGAATGCAAAAACAGTCTGCAATCCCAGCACTAGGGAGGTTCAGACAGCAAGATCCAGAGTTAAAAAAAATCATCTTCCGAACCTGGCAAGATGGCTTTGTGGGTAAAGGCACTTAGCACCCTATAGTGCAAGCCTGATGACCCAGATAAAAGTGGAGAGAACTGACCTCCACATGGTGCATACACACACACACACACACACACACACACCACATACCAAATAGTCTTTTTTTAAGATTTATTTATTTATTATGTAAACCATGTTCTGTCTGCCTATTTCCATGAATGCCAGAAGAGGGCATCAGATCTCATTACAAAGGGTTGTGAGCCACCATGTGGTTGCTGAGAATTGAACTCAGGACCTCTGGGAGAACAGTCAAAGCCCTTAACCTCTGAGCCATCTCTCCAGCCCTAGATAGTCTCTTTTAAAAATTTCAAGTGCTGGGCAGTGGTGGCACTCACCTTTTACTCCAGCACTCAGGAGGCAGAGGCAGGCAGATCTCTAAGTTTGAGACCAGCCTGGTCTACAGAGCAAGTTCCATGACAGCCTGGGCTGTTACACAGAGAAACCCTGTCTTGAAAAACAATCAAAAACAAAACCAAACAAAATTTCAAGAGGGCTGGGCTGCAGATCAGTGGTAGGGCACTTGCCCAGCATGTGTGTGCCCTAGGTTGTTTCCAGCTCTACAAAACATAAGATCAATAGCTCAGTGGATAGGGAGTTTGCCTCACATGCACAAAGCCCTGAGTTTGACTCCCGGCACTACATAAATGAGGAGTGGTTGTGGCTCACACCTGTAATTCCAATGCTCATGAGGTAGAGGCAGAAAGGACGGAAGCTCAAGGTCATCCCCAGCCTCATAGCAAGTTCAAGGCCAGTCTGAGATATGTGCAACCCTGCCTCAAAATAAAGTGATATAAAATAAAAAAGATGCAACAGCAGATCCCTTATTAACAGGACCTGTGTGACCCCCACATCCACGAAGCTCCCAGCTTCATCATCACCCCAAGTAAGGATTCTGACTGCCCCCAAATTGGGTCACAAGCCCTCTCCTTACCACAATGTCTTGAATCCAAATGTACTGTCTGGTTGGCTCATGAGCCCAACCCGGTCCAGGGAGGAGGTAGGGAATGGCAGCCAGACCACAAAGACATATCAACAAAGGGCTGGGAACACGCTGGATAAAGACATAGGCCTCTCTCGCACGAGTGAGGTTTGGGGCAGGGGAGGGCAAGCCATGTGACCGAGTCATCTTTCCAGAAACAGGGTGGCATCTGAATTGCTAGCTGGGGGCTCTGGGTGTTGTGATCTGGCATCCCCTGTAAAGGCGCTGAGGAGACCCAAGCCCCATTGGAGGAGCCCTGAACATCCTCCGCATGGCTTTATCCCACTGTAGAGAGAAGCCTTTTTCTTGCCAGCCGCTTTGGTTTTTCCCCACCAGTCACCTGGGCTCTGCTGCGTTGTAGTCCCCAAATAACACACAAGACGCTGTATTAATTATGAAGCTGTTGGCCTTGCTTGTTTCTTACTGGCTAGCTCTGACTTAAGTATTTAACCCATCTAAGTATTTCTCTTACCAGACGGACATCTTACTTCTCTGGCGGGCTACATCTTGACTCCCTGTGTTTCTCCTCCCCAGAGTCCTCCTGGACTCCTAGTCCCACCTATCTTGCTTCCCTATTGGCCAACAGTGCTTTATTGACATATACACAGGACTTCCCCATCATCCCACTCTGGCCTTGCCACCTGCCTGGAACCTTCTCCGGGGCCGCCTTGCTCTCGGGAGAAAACGCACAGCTTACAGGCCCAGTCTCCTCACCTTCCACCCCACTGATGCCATAACCACGCTTCCTCCTCCCCCTTCCCCCCTTATCTTTTTGAAACCACCCTTCCCTTTGTCCCACCTTACTCCCGTCCTGCCGAATGTCTATTTGTCCTCTTGCATCCCGCACCTCCCCCAGGAAGCTTTCCCTCACCTTCTAGGATGGGCCCAACCTCTGCTGCGGGCTGTCACAGGCCTCGGGATTCTCTGGGATCATGGGACCGGCTCCTTCAGACTCAAGCCTCACCCAACACACAGTACACTGTCAGCAAAGGCTGCTGAGTGTATGTGTAGGGTCGCAGGCAGTGGGCACTCTGGACTCTGTGAGAGCTTCCGCTGCAGATCAGGTGGTCTGGAAAACAGAGACTAAGAAGAGCAAGGCTGTGTGTGGCCTGTTCCGGGCCCAAGCTTCATTCCACTTTCCTAACTTCACCGCCATAGAGTCCCAAAAGAAAGGATGAACTCATAGCCTCATATTTCCTTCTACCTCCCCTGCCAACACACACACACACACACACACACACACACACACACAAACACTGACCTGCACACCCCAGCCAAGGTGATCATCCCTGTGCCCTTTTAACCAGTCCAGTCCAGTCCAGATGCCCTCTTTCCTTGACTAGTCCCAGAGAGAACTTGCTCCCAGATGGAGCCTGTCCCATCCTTCCTTCCTTCCTCCCCTGTCTCTCAGCCTCCCTACTTCCTTCCTTCCTGCTCTTGCAGGGAAAGGTCCCAAGCTCTTAGGCAGGGCCCTCAGATCTAGCTGCCTGCACTTGGACACACGCTTTCTCTGCCAGCCAGCTCCCATGCTTTGCCCTACTGAGATGAAGGATCTGATCCAGGCCTCGGGTACCAGGAGAACACATAGCAGCAGAAAGCAAGGGTCCTCTTGCCCCTCCCTTCACCCTCAACCCTAGTAGACTAGAGGGCCTCTAGAGCTTACCCTGAAGACCTGGTAGGGCCTTGCCACCCTGCCTGGCAGCCGGCCATTGCTGAAAGCCTCTACAGTCTACCTGGTATAATCATGCCTCTCTCCTCTCTCACACATGCACAGAGAACATAGGTTTATTAAATAGAAGTAAGGAAAGCTCCCAAAAGTAGGTTGGGGTTTTTGTTTTTTGGGGTTTTTCATTTTGTTTTGTTTTTGGAGACAGAGTTTCTCTGTATTATTTTTGGAGGCTGTCCTGGAACTCGATCTGTAGACCAGGCTGGCCTCGAACTCAGAGATCCGCCTGCCTCTGCCTCCCAAGTGCTGGGATTAAAGGCCTGGGACACCAATGCCCAGCTGTAGGTCGGGTTTTGAGGGAGCAATACCACCTCTTGTATCTTTTTTTTTTTTTTGTATTGTTTTGGAGGCTGTCCTGGAACTAGCTCTGTAGACCAGGCTGGCCTCGAACTCAAAGAGATCCGTCCGCCTCTGCCTCCTAAGTGCTGGAATTAAAGGCATGCGCCACCAACGCCCGGCTCCTCTTGTATCTTAAATGCTTGCAAGACTAACTGCTACCACTGCTTTTATCATCCCCAAACTCCTCCTTCTGCCCCTCCTCCTTCCCTCTTCTTTCCTCCCTTTCCTCCTCCTCTTCTGATTTAACCTTTACAATGACCCTGGAGAGTAGGGGAATTTTTGTCCTCACTTAATTCATTTTATTGTATTAATTTTATTGTTGAGATAAGGTCTCAAATGACCCAGGATAGCCTTGAATTCATTACACAGCCAAGCAGGATCTTGAGCCTCTAAACACCCTGCCAAGATTTTGTGGCACTGAGAACCCAAAGCCCCGTGCACCCCAGTCTGCCAAAGGAGCTACTCACTCAGGAGGCAGAGGCCAGTGTATGATCTCTGTGATTTCAAGGCCAGCCTGGTCTACAAAGTGAATTCCTGATCTTCCAGGGCTACACAGTGAGACCCTGTCTCAAAAACAAAACAGGAAGGAAGGAAGGAAGGAAGGAAGGAAGGAAGGAAGGAAGGAAGAAAGGAAGGAGCACTTGGTGCTCTTCCAGAGGACCAGAGTTCAGTTAGTTCCAGAACCCACATCAGGTGCTCAAAACCAACTGTAATTATAGTTGCAGGGGATTGGGTGCCTTCTTCTGCCTCTGCAGTCACCTGCACACACACACACACACACACACACACACACACACACACACCTTTAAAAAACATAAATGAGGGCAAGGCAGTGGTGGCACATGCCTTTGATCCTAGCACTCAGGAGGCAGAGGCAGCTGGATCCCTGTGAGTTCGAGACCAGCCTGGTCTACAGAGTGAGTTCCAGGACAGCCTCCAAAGCCACAGAGAAACCCTGTCTGGAAAAAAAGAAAGGAAGGAGAGGAAGGGAGGGAGGGAGGGAGGAAGGAGTTTGCTCAAGCTCAAGCTCAAACCCCTACCAGACCAGTGTCACTGCCTCCCCGTGTCTCTTACTGATCCTAGAGCACTTCACAGGCTTGAATGTCTGTCTCCCAATCATGCAAAACATATTGGGGAGATGTTTCAAGAAACTCTATCCCAGCACTTAGGAGGCAGAGTCAGGTGGATCTCAGTGAGCTCTAGGCCAGCCTGGTCTACAAAGCGAGTTCCAGGACTGCCAGGACTGTTACACAAAGAAACCCCGTCTCAAAAAAAATTTTAAAAAAACCTCAATCACTATCTGTCAATGATGCCATGCCAGAAATAGACACAAGATCACAGCCCAATCTTAGTGAATCACCCGAACACAGCAGTCTGCAGAAACCTAGCCTGGTCCCTCCTGCTGGAGCTCTGTCCACATGCAAACAGGAGTCCATTTCTCTCGTTCACAGATGGGAGGAAATCTCATTTTGTGAGAGAAAGGGAGGATGACCTAACCCTTCAAAGACTGCTGAAGTTTGGAAAATAGGCAGGTGAAGAGGTAGCAACTCTGGGGAGCATCTCTGCTTCTCTGCCACCAGAGGGCGCGCGCTCCCTCTCAGAGCCCAAACCACCACGGCGTCTTCTGCGGGCCCGCAAAGGATGCCGCGTGGAGGATGCACCAACTTCGGGAAGAACCTCCCTGGGATGCAGCTCTACCCTGGGCATGGATTTTCAGTCTCGGTACAATAACACTTTGCCCCTTGGCTTTCCACTCTGGCCGCACCCCCACGCTGTGGCCTCCGGGCTGCCGTTTCGTGCGCCCCCTCCTGGTTATTGAGAGCACTACGGCCTGGCCGTTTGGAGGCTTCGGAGGGTGGACGTGAGGACAGAGGATGTTCAAAAGAAAATTTAGCTGTTATGGGCCAGGAAATACCTAATGGGGATATTCTGAACAGAGAGAGGTTGGAGTGGTCATCGCTAAGTGCTCTGACGTGAGTCCAGCAGGAAGGGTATGGGAACTGCATTGACCGTTCAGGTTATTGGACGCTTCATAGGAGAACGCTGAAGGACCAATCAGATAGGTACTGGGAGCACAATTAAGGGGCACTAATCCTAAAAAGGAAGGAGAGCACCGAGTAGTTACCTGATGGTGCTGTGGATCCCTGGGTGACCATTTGAAAGCAAGCCGTCGACCCTAGGGGCATATTGAGCACACCTCGTAAAGATGGAGATACATAGCATAGGAGCTGGGGGTGCAAACCCACAGCAGGAAGCAATAAGTGGGTTTAGGGACATTGCTAAGAGGGTGAAGAGGATCATAACATGCACCGGGGACATGGGCAGCCTCTGTGCGTGGTGGAAACCGCGCTTGACACTGGGTGGCTTGGGCCATCTCTGAACTTGTTCAGGATGGTACTTCCCCACCGTGTTTCAGTGGCCCTCTCCAGCCTGAGTCATTGTGCCATCAGGATTTAGACCAAATTTATCCCTCAAGAGGCTCCGGCCCTGACCAAAACCTGTCCATGATTTCCCAGTTTGCTTGGATTGGTGGGGGGGCAGGGGACCCGCTGCATTTGGCCAGAGGACAGAGTCTCCTTTTTCTGCTTTCCCCAGACACAGAGGGAAGTAAAGGCAGGTCAGCCTTTCATTCCCAGAAAAATACGGAGCCCCCTCCTCAGCCCCTCCTACCAGGCTTTGGCCTTCTGGCCCAGCTTGCTGGCTGCTGGGCCGGGAGGGGCTGCCAGGCTCGGCCTCCTGCCCACTGCGGGGCGCCGGGGGAGGGCGGCGTGAGGCTCGAGATGCCGCGTTGCCATGGAGACGCTGCCGCATCCTGACTGCTCCTGGCAACGGGGTCCCGCAGCCAGGCAGGCGCTCGGCGGGGACCCTAGGGAGCGGGCGCGCCAGGCTGCCCACGGCGCCGCCAGACCCCCGGGACACGAATCCGGCTCCCCCCCCACATACACACACAAACACCCCTCACTACCGCTCCCAGGGGCACACACATGTACATGAGCGCCCCAGCTGCAACAGCCCAGGCGGAACTGCAGCCCAAGCCCTCCCTGCAGCCCCCACTCATTAATTCAGCAAACATTTGCCGACCGTCTCAGTGCCAGGCGCGAGCTGGCCACTGCGGCTGCAGCGACGAGTCACACCGGGACGCCGCACCGCCCCCGCCCCCATCTCAGCCCGCAGGGGTAGGCAGACACAGAAACGCTGCGATCAATAAATACTGTGACCCCCCAACAGCAGCCACCGTCGACTGTGTGCTAAACCTATCTCAGACAAGGGTCCAGCAGGGGTTTTGGATTGGGTTGGATTTTTTGGGTTTTTTTGTTTTGTTTTTTGTTTTTTGGTTTTTTTTTTTGTTTTGGTTTTTTTTTGCTTTTCCTTTTCTTGTGACCGTTGAGAATCCCTGCCCCCCTCCCTTCTTTTTTTAACAGATGAGGAAACCAAGGCCCAGGAGGGCATGTTTATTCTCCCGAGGCCACACAGCATGAAACAGAGCAGGCCTTCTAATCTGAACCTTACCCACTTCCGGCTGTGTCTCCAAGAGCGTAACCAAAAAGGACCCGTCTCAGTCGGTGAGACATCAGGGACACAGATCTAGCCCTGGGTCTTAGAGAAAATGCAAACCTACCAGGCGGAGCAAGAGACAAGCTGTCTAGGCTGAAAGAGCAACTCTTTGCAAAAGCGATAGAGAGTTTCAGCTAATAGGCTGCAGGGTTAGGGAGAGCGAGGACGGGGAATGTGGTTAGACAGCCAAGTCTGGCAGGGCGGTGGTGGCAGAAGCAAGCGGAGTTCGAGGCCAGCCTGATCTACAGAGTGAGCTCCAGGACAGCCGGGGCTACACAGAGAAACACTTGTTTCGTAGGGGCGGGGGGGGGGGAGCGGGAGCGGAGGCCGAGAACGCAAGCCTGAAGAGCTGGGCGGTGTAGCTCAGTGGGTTAGGGCGTTGACCTTGCGCGCATACAAGGCTTCAAGATTCGATCTCCATGCCGCGGGGGCCTGGAGTGGGGTGGGGTTGGCATCTGTTAAACCCACGCCAAGGGAGCTAGACTCCATTCCTAGCGGAGCTGGGAGAGTGTGAGCACGGGAGGGCATGCGCCGGCTGTTGCTCTGGCAACCACCTGGAAGGGTCAAAGCAGGAAGAGGACTGAGACTAGAGAGCACGCTGTGGCCGAGTCTCCCCGGCCAATTTCAATGAGAAAGGAAGGAGGTAATATGTCCTCCTTACTCTCCCCAGCAAACACCATTCTGTCTGACTCAGGAACTTAGAGACTGCGCCCCAGAGCTTCAAGTATAAGTAAGGCTCAGGGAATGCCAGGTCTCAGAGAAGGTAAGGAAAAACACACAGAAACATCCTTTAGGAGGACGTGAGGAAGTACCCGGGCTAGACCCCTATAAGGACTTCCAAAGAGAATCCGTCTAGAGAGAATCAGAGACAGGGAGAGTGTGTCTCATCCCAGCAAGAACAGAGCTCCTGCAGCCCTCTCTCTGAAGAGACACAGCACCCAGGCCCCCAGCCTCCCTCCTCCCGAGGTTAGCCTAATTTTTTCCCTTCCTTGGATTCAGGTCATTGCTCCCTGTCCTCTCTCTCCCAGGCGCCTCGGAATGTGACTAATTCCCTCCCTTCATTTACGGGTCCTGTTACCTGGGAGGTATTTATAGCCTGGCAGCCTGTCTCCCTCTCCAGCGACTCAGCCGCTCTCCCCCAGGCCATCTCTTCCCCTGGCTCGGCCATCTTTGCCTCCCTTTCTCAAGCCCTCCCTCCCTGCAATCCTCCTGCAGGGGCTGGCTTGGGAGGGACCAGGACCTTTTGGAACCCTGGGAGACAATCTCTCAGTGATGAGACCCCTCCATTCTTGAGCACCCCTGACACCCTGGGGCTGGAGAAGGGGGACTATTGCTGGCCTCTCTGCAACCTCAACACGCAGTCCGATACTTAAACTAATAACAGGTAACAACCATCGGGTGTTTACTACCAGCTGTTATTACTACCCTCGGTTTGCAGTTGGAAAACTGAGCCCGGAAAGGGCCACATGACCTTGTCCAGAGCTTAGAGCTGTGCAACTCTCCAGGACCCACCCTCCCTAAACCCTGCCTGGTGTGTGTGTGGGGTGAACTAGCCGGAAAACAGGCGAGGTGGGGGCGAGGCCCGACCAGGGTGCCCGACCAAAACCCAAGCCACACATTCCCCTGGCCACCTGCCACTTTTTCATCTGCCCTCAGACTGTCAGGAAACAGCATAAGAAAAGAGGCCACTGGGTTCCCAGACACTGCCTGTCACACCATGGCCCTGCTCCCAGGCAAGAGTCACTGAGGAGCAGAGATAGAGGCATGGACCTGTAATCAAGGACAGAGAAGGGGGTTCTATGTCCATGGGTCCTGGGAAACTACAGCAGGAAAGAAGGAAATTAGACCCCGTGGGGGACTTACGGGCAGTTCCCATGTCATAGCTGCACCACTGGCCCCCAAGACCCCTTCACACGCACACCAGGAAGCCCGAGCCCAAGAGGTAGACATACCAGCTCGACTAGGCCCAGAGTCTCTGACTATAAATTCAGCAATGTTGGTAAAATAGATTACTAGGAGGCCAAAAATAGAGCAGACGGTTAAGTGCAGATGTCAGCTTTGTGACTGGCAAAGGCCTTCACCTGAGACTCGATTTTCCCACCTGCAAATGGGCAGACATCACATCTCACTCCCAAGAGGGTTGAAGGGCAGGCAAAAGCTAGCACCTGCGCAGCACTTGGGAGGCAGAGGCAGGAGGATCTCTGTGAGTTCGAGGCCAGCCTGCTCTACAGAGCGAGTTCCAGGACAGCCTCCAAAACAATACAGAGAAACCCTGTCTTGAAAAACCAAAAAATAAAAATAAAAATAAAATAAAACTAGCACCTGGCATGTGAGGGGTTGCATAACTGGGGACTCTGGGGATTTCTCACTATGCCAGATTTATGTTGTGCTAGAGATCAAACCCAAGGCTTTGTGCTAAAAGCACTCTACCAACTGAGCTACATCCCGTCCTTTTATTTTTTATTTTTTGTCTTTTTTAAAAATGTGGAGAGGAGGATTCAAGATAGAGTTTTTCTGTGTACCCATGGGTGTCCTGGAAATTGCTCTGTAGACCAGGCACCAGGCCCCCCTAGAACTCAGAGATCTGGCTGCCTCTGTCGTTGGCATGGTGGAATTTAAGGTGTGCACCACCACACCCTACTCATTTTCTTTTTGAGATTTTAATTTTATTGTGTGTGTGTGTGTGTGTGTGTGTGTGTGTGTGTGTGTGTGTTTGCCTCTGCACCACATGCATGCAGTACCAGAAAGGGCCAAAAGGGGGAGATCTATCCTCCTAGAGTTACAAATGGTTGTCAGTCCACCTGCGGGTACTAGGAATTGGACGTGGGTTCCCTGGAAGAGCAGCCAGTGCTCTTCACCATCTATCTCTCCAGGCCCTGTCTTGCTTTCTGAGACAGGTTTCACTAGGCAGCCCAGACTGTCCTCAAACTGTAGGAGAGCCTCCTTCCTTAGCTGGGATTACAGGTGTGCCCCACCACCCCCACACAGCGGGGTTTCCTATCCTATCTTCTCTAAGAGCCGAGCGCAGGCCCCTGCTGTGGGGAATGAGCACCCACTGCCTTCATCATCATTTCCACATTCCCACTGTGCTCTCTGTGGCTATAGCGCCATTTCGCACACCCAGCCAAGCTTTGTGCTCGCTTGAGGGAGCCACCCCTGCTCGGTGCCGCGGGGTCCAATTAGGAGCCCTATCGGGAGGCCGCGTCGGATCCGACACCCTATTCTGTACCCGCTTGAGCTACCTCTACCTCTCACCATGAGGCGTCAGGAGGCAGCCAGCAGCAAAATTCCCAAGTCATTCTGATGTCTGAACCTGGCAGAGTCAGGTCCTGCTGCAGCTGAACCAGCCATCTTTTTCCAGGGCAACGGCACAGAGCACTTCCGGGTTACACCAGCCTGGCTGTCACAGCAGCACCAGCAGACACACTGGGGAGGGTCCCTGCAGGTAGGCCGGCCCCTGGGGTGACTAAAAGGGGTGAATGCAGGCCTCCCCTTCCGCCCCTGGGGGAAAAAGGAAATCCAGGTCATTACAGGTACAGGATATAAACTTGGAGAGGTCCCATCAGTTGGCAGAGGTCTCCCAACACTCAGGAGGCCCGTACAGGCAATGCCTGCTTAGATGCCCATAGATCCTGTTTTTTCGTTTGTTTGGTTGGTTGGTTGGTTGGTTGGTTTTACGAGACAGGGTTTCTCTGTATTGTTTTGGAGGCTGTCGGTCCAGCCTGGCCTCGAACTCACAGAGATCCGCATGCCTCTACCTCCCGAGTGCTGGGATTAAAGGCGTGCGCCACCACCACCCGGCAGATCCTGGTTCTTACCCTGATAGCACAGGCAGAACCAGGCTTAAGTAGTGAGTATGGAAGCAGTCAGCCACTCTGTCCACTGCTGACTGGCTGAGAGCAGTCAGGAGGCACCGTCAATGGGTCCCGGAGCAGGACTGGGTATCACCAGCCTTAAATCTTCTGTGTGACCCGGGGCAAGGTCTAGCCTCTTTCTGAGCCTCAGTTTACCCAGACTTCCTAATGGAAACCCTGCTCTCCACCCTCTCCCTATCAGATCTGTGTAGGGCCTCTGTGGGCTACCAACAGAAGAGAGACAGGGTCTGTGCCCACACCAACCATGCTCTCCCCACCCATGGGCACACAGGGTCCTCGTTGAAGAAACACGGTGTATACAAATAATTAAACGGAAGAATTGGAGTGATTAGGGCAGATGATTATTGTCAAATTATGATTTATCTTGTAGTGGAATTAGTATTCCCCCAAAGGGCCCGGCGTGGCGCTGCGCCCGCCACGGCCCGTGATTAATCGCCGTCTCCAGAAGGTCACCTCCAGCCACTGCAGATTAACTCAGTGGGGAAACTTCTTTCCGTAATTCAAGCTGTTGTTCCCACAACCTGTCATCCGCCTTGGAAAAGGACGATTTCGTCAGGGAGCCCGGGGCGGGGGCTGGCCCGCTCCCCAGCCCCTCCCGGCTGCAGACATGATATATGGTGCGTCCCGACACGGGTGACCGCGAGGGGGGGAGCGGCGTCAGCCGTGGGGTAGGCAGCGGGAGGCAGGAGTGGGGGAGAGGTGGGGGGAGCTCCGGCAAGCACAAGTAGGCTGTGAGGGGAGAGCGCGCGGGCGGTGGCAATTAGGAAGAAAATTGGATTTTTCAGCGTCCAGAGGCAGCTGCGATCTGCGGTGTGCAATGCAGTCAGCAACCACCCCCCCCACCTCCATCCTTCCAAACACACAGGCACCCAGCTCCAGCAGGCAGACTCCCGAGGAGGAGGGAATGGAGAATTGGGGGCACCGGACCTCTTCTATAAAGACTGGCGACACAGAGCCAGTCCTGAGCAGGGCAGAGAATTGCCTGTCCTCCCTCCCCTCTGCGGACTGTGCCACCTGGAGCATGAAATCCGAGCAGAGCAGGCGCAGGCTGGACTGAGGAGGCCCTGCGTGGGCAGACCTGGCAAGCTTGAGGCTGGGCGTTGCAGAGCCCCCCAGCGGTCAGAAGGGATCTTTGGAGGGGGAACATCTCACCTGGGCACCAAAATCAAGCCTGCATCCCAACCAGAGACGCTGACAAAGCCTAGGCCCATGTCACCTGGGGCTCCTGGGACACCTAGGTTAGGCAGCCTAACTCAACATGGCCATTGCCCTCTCTCTTCTGCATAAAGAATGGAGATCCAATCCCCCTCTCCTCCTCCTCCCCAACTCCAGCCTCTACCCACCCTTGGCTCCCTGAGTAGAGGGAGATAACCAGAAATCCTACCCCTAGCCGGGCGTTGGTGGCGCACGCCTTTAATCCCAGCACTCGGGAGGCAGAGGCAGGCGGATCTCTGTGAGTTCGAGGCCAGCCTGGTCTACAGAGTGAGTTCCGGGACAGCCTCCAAAACAATACAGAGAAACCCTGTCTCGAAAAACCAAAAAAAAAAAAAAAAAAAAGAAAGAAAGAAATCCTACCCCTCCCCCTGGAGGTGAGGCTGAAGCAGGGTGATTTCCTGCTGCCCTGGGGCTCACCAGCCCTGGCTTCCCAGCACCCTCAGGATTACCTCCAATATCCTCAGGGCATTGTCCTCTGGAGGGGGTATCCAGCCGCCCTGCCCCTGCTTTTCCTCCCCACCTCTAGAAACACTAGCCCTCCGGTATTCTTTAGGCCTCCGGGCTTCTAACAAGCACTCTAAAACGTACTTTCTATCCCCAGCCGGGCGAAGTTCTATTCTCTTTCCAGCTCATTTAACCCCACAGGAGAGAAGGCGGCGATCTGAGCACTTGGATCACCCTTACAGCAGCAGCCATGCTCTCTCCAGGCCTCGCCTACCACGCCCCCAGCGTTCCAGGTGAGCCTACATCTTCCTCCTCGGTCCCTGGAAAACCCACTCAGCCTGGGGAGAGTGGCTCTGCTCCCCCTGGAGCCGTTTGGTCTCCATTCCCCAATCCTCCACCACAGTGCACTTGCCAGAGCTCTGAACTGAAGGCAGGGCAGGGAGACAGGACAGAGGTAGGACCCCCTTGCTGGCAGCCCCATCCTCCAAGCCTAGAGGCCGCTCAGATAAGAACAGAAAGCATGCATTGTGTACACTGTGGTTTGCTCAGAACATTCTAGGGCCCGAGACATTTAGAACTGTAAAGACCCAGCATTATTTGAGAAGGAAAAAAGAAAAAAAATCTATTTTCAAGGGTGGCGGTGGGGGAAACAACACTCTGAAAAAGAAAAAATCGTTGGGACCCAAAGCTAGCATTTTCTTGGAGGGAAAAAGGGGGCCTTCTCTGTCCTTTCTGGGAGCCGCCTCTGCCGGCGCGTCTGATAAGGCTGCCCTCAGAGTCTGGGTGACAGTGACAAACACTCCCATCCAGACTCTTTAGATTGCACGTAGCATTCAAGACACCCTTTGCTGCATTCGTGCAGTTTTCTGGGGGCCAGCTGAAACTCCCTCTCTCCCCCTCCCAATTTTACAGATGGGGCAGCACACCATGGGGCTGGTGACAACATCTAGAAACAGTAGAGATGGCCGGAGAGCCAGAGGAGGGGGAGTCCAGGCTTACTCCCCACTAAGCCTAATCTGTGAAGGGACAGGATCTCCACACAAGCAGCTCTGAAACCTTCACACCTCCCCCTATCCCCAAAACCCAGAAGGGTGTGGAAATGCCTTGGTTCCTTCCAGTCCTGTTCAGGCCCCAGGGCAAGCCAACCTTGTTTTCTCATCTGCAGTGGGCTGTGAAACCTCAATGTGTGTGTGTGTGTGTGTGTGTGTGTGTGTGTGTGTGTGTGTGTGTGTGTGTGAGACACCCACACTCCACCGTGGAGCCACACCCCTACCGTGTTCTGTTTGCTTATTTGAGATAGGGTCTCCTGTAGCCCAGGCTGGCCTCCCACACCTGAGCATCAGCCATTGATGGGATATGATTATAGGCATGGGCCACCATTCCTGCTGTGGGGCTGGGTTTTTTGTTACCCCACCTCCCCACCCCCAGACAGGTTGTCTCTGTGTAACAGCCCTGGCTGTCCTGGAACTCTCTTTGTAGGCCAGGCTGTCCTCGAACTCAGTGATCCACTGTGATCCACTTGCCTCTGTTTCCTAAATGGCAAATGCTGAGATAAAACCCTGCCCGAGGCGCGCGTGGGGGAGATGGGGCGTGGTTTTGGTTTTTCGAGACAGGGTTTTTCTGTGTAGCCTGGCTGTCCTGGAGCTCACAATGAAGACCAGGCTGGTCTAGAACTCAGAGATTCTCCTCCCTCTATCTCCTGAGTGCTGGGATTAAAGGCATGCACACCCACCGCCCTTGTGGGGCTGCTTTTTTTTGTTGTTGTTGGTTTGTTTTTTGTTTGTTTTTAATCGTGTGCATGACGCGGCTAACTTCTGAGGTTCCCGGATCTCATAGCTTCACTCTCTCCCAGAGGAAACTGAGTCAAGGCATAGCTTCCACCAGGCAGGGGACCTCACCAGATGAACTATCCTGAAAACCTCACCCCTCTTCCAGAACCCTTCATTGGTTCCTGCCAGTCCAACACAGCCCAAACACGTAACCAGCCAGTTCTTCCCAGTTTCTGAACTACAGTCTGCTGGCTCCTGCCTCCCTGCCTTTTGACCAAGCTGACACCTTGGCTTAGAATGCTATTTCTGGGCTACCTCCACGTTGGTAATCACACTCTTGCACCGGTAATGCCCTCCGGGTCATTCTCTCCAGCCATCCGTCCCTCCCCCCCCAAGACCACGCCGCCGTCCAGCCATCCCACGCGGCTCTCTGAGCCCCCTCCCGGGGGTGGAGCGGGTCGCAAGGCTGGTGCCGGGAGCTGGGAAACACTGCTCGACAAACCCCCCCCGTCCCCCTCCCCGCCGCACTCCCGCCAGCGCCCGCCGCGGCCCGGCTTTGATCCCGCGGCCTCCGAGCCGCAAACCTGATTGGCATCGAATTACGGCGCGCGGCGGAGGGAGATAATGGCGGGAGGCGCGGCAGACATGAAAGAGGGGGGGCGCAGCGGCAGTCCGGGCCGTTGTTAATGACCCAATAAAAAGCAAGATGGGGGGAGAGAGAGCCCGCCCTCCATCTCCGCCCCCAGGACCGCGGCCGGTGCACACAAAGCCGTCGCCGACTCGGAAATTACCGCGGCGGCTCAGCGTAGCGCAGCGTGACCGGAGGAGTGGGGGGCGGCTCACCTGGAGGCGCGGGAGCCTGCGGCAGACCCCGCACATGCAGCCCGCGCCTTGCAATTGGTTTTGCCTTATGGGTGTTTTTGCATTTATTATGAGTCCTACACACACATACACCACCACCATACAATATTTTGTCGTTGTCCCTTTTGATATGAGATCTCTTGCATCATCCCAAGGTTGGCTTCGAACTCAGTGTACAACTGAGGTTGGCTTTGAACATGTTCCTCTAAAGTCCACCTCCCAAATTCTGGGATTACAGGCATTCACCACCTTGCCTGCTTTGTTTTGTTTTGTTATTTTGTTTCAATAGGAAGCTAAACCAGGTGGTGGTGGCACACACCTTTAATCCCAGCACTCCGGAGGCTGAGACAGACAAATCTTCTGAGTTCGAGGCCAGCCTGGTCTACAGAGCGAGTTCCAGGACAGTCAGGGCTACGCAGAGAAAACCCTGTCTCAAAAATAAAAACCTGACCTGAACAAGGGGGAGCTCTTGGACATCAGACTGATGGCTGAGAGGCCAGCATGGGACTGATCCAGACCCCCTGAATGTGGGTGTCAGTGAGGAGGCCTCCGCAATCTATGGGGCCTTGGGTAGTAGATCAGTACTTCTCCCTGGCGTACAAATGGACTTTGGGTGCCCATCCCACATTGAGGGATGCTGTCTCAGCCTGGACACATGGGGGAGGGCCTAGGCCCTGCCCTGGATGAAATGACAGATTCTGGACACCCCCATGGAGGGCCTCACCCTCCCTGGGAAGTGGAGTGGGGATTGGGTGGGGAAGGCGGGGGGGGGGGGATGGGATTGACATGTGAAGCAAGCTTGTTTCTAATTTAAATTTTAAAAAAATTTTTAAAAAGGAAACTAAATATTTTTTTCCTCGTTACTGAGGGATTTTGGTTGGTTTTGTTTTGTTGTTTTTTTTTTTGCCCCCTTAAATGTTTTTGCCCAACCAATTGCAGGCTGTCAGTCATATACCATGTCTTTAGTCACACATTCAGTATTACATATATATGTACATCACATACACAGTCACAGATACAGAGGCCACATGTGTCACACACCTAAAGGCACCTCCAAAGTGGACACGACCCCATCCAAGCATAGATGCCTATACGAAGACACACTCCCAGAAGCAGGGCAGAGACTCACGTGTCACACAGGCCATGCAGGGAGGCAGACATTGACCCCACGGGTGAGCACAAACCTATACACAGGAACAAGCACAGATGTGCACTGTACCCACTTACAAACACCCCGGCCTAGGGTTCACAAACTACCGTTCTCTCCCGGTCTCCAAGATTCTCAATACACCCTCAAGGTCACCCATTTCACAGCTTCACACACTGCAGAGATGAAAGGGTGTCCCTGGGCCACAGAGCCCAGAAAAGTCTTGCTGATCCCGAATTTGGCAATGAAAAGGGCTGCCTTTAATCCAGGAGACTGGGCAGATGGCTCAAGAAGTCAGAATAGCGGTTTTAATCATCTGTAAAAAATGGGGATCCATTCCTTCTCCATAGGGATTGTCTGAGGCTCATCAGGAGGTGGGGGGACACTGATGACATCACATGGACTCCATCAGGCTCAGTTCCGACCCCTACACACACACACACACACACACACACACACACACACACACAACATGTATATGCATAAACACACTCACGGTCATACACACATTTCTCTTAGCTCCCAGCCTCTTTACTGATGGAGAGGTCCCTCACTAATGTACCCTGAAATCCTTGTGCTATGGTCTAACTCCTGTTCTGAGAAGAGAGTCAGGCCTGGCTTCAAAAATGCAGATCCCTGAGCAGGCAGAATGGGGCCCTGTTGTGGAATCAGAAGATCAGAGGTCCGCTTGGTCTACGTAGAGAGTTCCAGGACAGCCAAGGCTACATAGTAAGATCCTGTCTGTATAAACAAATGAGGAAACTTTTATTTATTTGCATCTGCCTGCATGCGTGAAAATGTCTGCGAATACATATGGGTGTGTGGGTACCCAAAGAGGCCAGAAGAGGGCGTTGGGTCCCCTAGAGCTGGAGTAACAGGCTGAGCCACCCCAAGCATGTGGGCTAAGAACCAAACTCTGGTCCTCTGCAAGAGCAACAAGCACACTTCACAGCTAACTACCTCTCCAGTCCCTCAGCTCCACTTCAGTTTTCATTCCATTGTATGAGGATGGGCGTTTTGCAGTACATGGATGTGTGTGTCCCTCTTGTGTGCTGGGCCCTCGGAGGCCAGACGAGGGTGTCAGATACCCTGGGACTCAAGCTACAAGACAGTTGTGAGCTGCCCTGTGGGTGCTGAGAATTGAACACCATTCCTCTAGAAGAACAACCAGTGTTCTTTCTTAACCGCTGAAACATCTCTCCAGTCTTTCCTCCCCCCCATTTTTTGAGACAGTTTCACTTAGCTCAGGTGGTCCTAAAATTTGATATGTAATCATGCATGACCTTGAACTTCTCTGGTCCTGTGGCCTGTACTCTAGTCTCCCTCACCCCTTTTCTTGCCAATGTCACACTGTGCAGCACATCAAGTTGGCATCTAACTCGAGACCCTCCCTTACCTCAGGCTTTAGAATACTGAGATTACAAGCAAGAAGTACACTGTGCCTAGCTGCCAGCACCATCTTGAACCAGGTGTTTGCCCTTGGGCAAGGATGCGGCCTCTCTGGGCATCCGTTACCTTCACTGGCAAGTGGGTTAAACAGCAGCGGCGCCCCAACACAAGAGGCCACACTGGAAGGGATGAAATGTCTCTCTGCTGAGCTATGGAGCTGTGGCTAATAATGTCTGCCCATGTTGGAATCAGAGGTGAAATATCAGGTGGTGTACACACACACACACACACACTCACTCACACACACACATACACACACACACACACGAGAGAGAGAGAGAGAGAGAGAGAGAGAGAGAGAGAGAGAGAGAGAGAGAGAGAGAGAGAACACATCAGTCTCCCTGCAATTCTTCAGGTGGAAAAGGACACTTTATGAGCCAAAACTTAGGACCTAATTAATTCAGTTAATCACAGGCCCAGTCACACTAGCCGTGAGGACAGCTGAGAGAGGAGGTCACAATCTGCTCTCGGTTCTTAAAAAGGATGGGAGGCAGGAAATGAGGTTCTTAGTGGCTTTCCCCTCTAAACTCAGGCTTCCCTATCCCCTGTTAACCAAAGCCTACACTCCAATCCCAGCTCCCTGGTGAAGCCCCTTCTCATGTCTAAATCCAATTTCTCTGCAGCGGCTGAGGCAGCACAGGGATTCTGCAGTCAGAGTCCTGTTTATTCCTAGCCAGGCAGGTTAGAAAAGCTGTGATTGGTCTTCAAATGGCCAGGTTCTGTGACACTGGGTTTGATGGTGGCAGTGGGGTGGGCGGATTGAGCCATAACTTTCGGGGGAAGTCGGGAATGAAGGAAGGGCCTGGTGGAAAAAAAAAAAGGCTCCCTCCAAAGGGACTTATATATGTGACCCTGTTAGTGGGGAGTGGCATGGCCTAAGACTCTCACTAGGGCTATAGAGGGAGGGGTTTAGCCACACTGCTGAGTTATAAATCACCCTGGACTCAATTAGAGCCTGTGAAAGGTTGTGCACACCCAGCAGAAAGCGATGCTTGGCGGGCAGCCAGTTCCCTGAGGGGGGCAGGGGCAGTGCTAGTGTGTGCCTGTGTGTGTGTGCACGATTGTGTGTGTGTGTGTGCCTACTGTGCAAATACTCTTGTGTGTCGTCATCTGTGTTGACGTGTGTATGTACTGGCTCGCATCTGTCTCTTGAATACATGTGTGGAGTGGTGTATATGCCTGTGGGTTCCTGCATGTCCTGTGTGATTGTTGTGGGCTAGGTTTTTATTGCACCCCTTTGTACCTATCTGTGGTGTGTGTGTGTGTGTGTGTGTGTGTGTGTGTGTGTGTGTGTGTGTGTGTGTGTGTGTGTGTGTAGCTATAGGACAGTTGCCTGTCTTTGTGCCTGTGTGCACATGAATATGAACATGTAGGTAGCCATTTCTTCCACTTCATCTCTGTGCATGACTCCTGCCTGTGATCCCCCCAAATGTATTTGTGTTTGAGCCTGCATCTGTGCCAGGTAGTAAGTTGATTT